GTTAATATTAAAGAAGGCAAATTAGGATTTTGGGGGTTTTCTCTTCATCTCAAAGGCTACTTCTCACCATGAAACGTTTCTGAGAACTGTGTGAATATGGCCACTTCTCAGAAAATAAACTGCTGATTGCACAATATTATCAAGACGCCCACCGCAGGCTGCCTCATGATTGAGGAAGTGCGTCTGGTTTCCATAGCCGTATCAAAACAAAGACTCTTATTTTACTGGTTCGCGTTGAAGGCGGTAAGTTGTTCTTTAAGTTCATTCATGTTTAGTTTTAGCTCAAGTCTGGGTTTAGTTTGAAATTGAAAGTTAAGTTCATGTCAACACGAACTGTTTTTAAGTGAAATAGGTTTTGTTAAATCAAATGTGACTTTTATTTTGTAAATAAATCTTTTGTCGGTCAAAATGTCAATCCAGATCAGGTTGTATCACGACGTCTCGGGGCACTTTGACGTCGTCACAGTGCTACAACCTTCAATAAATAGCAATATGCCCACTGTCACAAGGAAATGTGACCGTTACACTGACGAGCCTGTTGTGAACGTTCCACATAACGAACGGGATATTTTGAATTTTTTCCATCACAAATTATCAGGACTCCAAGCTTTGATGTGGATGCACTGAAAGTAAACTGATAATAAAATGGACCAGAAGTGACACTTTTAGTTTTGCTGACTTTCTAAAAGTAAAAAATAATCAGATAAACAAATAAAACACATGGTTAAATCTACAGTGAGCACTATAGAGGTTTTAATTGGGGTTATCAGCGAGCAGCTTGATTGTATTAAGAATTAAATCGACAACATGGATGTGTTGAAACCACAGAGGAACAGAGTTTGGGGGGTGAAAGAAGATTCGGAGCCCACTGATACGAAGTTTTTCTCTGATGTGTCAGTTGCTGTGATTGTCAACATTTCACTGACATCATGCAAAATATGGCGGCATACGTGATCTGATGCTAAAAGACTGAAGTTCTAGAAGAAGATGAAACAACTGGGGGTTGCGAGGTTATCTCCACAAATTAAATAAAAATTAAAAAGAGATTCAAATTAGCTATAATTATTACAAAAGCAAAAATAATAGTTAAATACTGCTCACCTGTGTGAATCTGCTGCTTCTACAAACTGCGTGTTTACTCAATATTTAGGTTCATACATGGAAACTAGCAAGCAAGGTTTTTATATAACATCTTTACAAGACACGGTAAAGAAGATAAAATACAAAATGCGACAAAGTGAAGTCAAATTGATGAAGTAAAATAACTAAAAACAGCAAAGACAAGCTGAAAAAAGCAGAAACAAATTTCATAGACGAAATAATAAACTGAGCAAAAGGCGGACAAAAGGTTTGAAAAGCAAAAACACACTAAAGCCCACAACAGATTAGAAAAGACCAGATTAAAATGAAATTAAAGTGCAGAAAGGTTTTCTAAAAGCATCGACAGCTTAGACTAGACGTAACAAAATAAAATGGAGTGTTTGAAAGCGGTGGAATAAAGGATTGGCTTGAGCTTAGTTTTTAAACGATGACATTTTGGCCAAATCAAAGGCGTTTGACTGATCTATTCTGTGTCGAGCCTGTATCGAATAACTATGAAATAATACGGTTTGTCCCTGTAGAGGCTGGTGCACGAACATTTCAACCACCCCCGAGGTTTGCAGGTGTCTGGTACCATTTCTGAGTGTGGATTGTAGGCTAGTTAGCCAGATATGCTAACATTAGCACATTACAGTGATAATCAATGCATTCCTCACGTTCTGGTTCTCTGGCTTTGGTTATTCAGCCAAAACACCAGCGTGCTAGCAAGTGGTTCCAGTCCAAATCTTCTTAAAACGTGACCTTCTGCAGCCACCTTGAGAAGGGCGTCGTCCTTCATCCGTTGCTCATTTTGGCTTTCTGTGCAGGCATCGCTAATCAAACAGCATTCTTGTTGATTCGTTTTCTCCACCACCACTTACTGAATTGCCTGTTAGCTAATTACTCTGTTTAACTTCCTGGTGCACGGTGCGGTCTCTGTGTAATCCAAAAGGGAGTTTTGTCAACACAGTGGAGTTAACAGAGGTTCTCATGGGTAAGAATGGAGCTCTGGTTGATTCTCATACATACATACGAGGGCATATTAGCGGCCTTGTAGTAAGATCCCTCATTTCTGTGCTTCCCATTTACTATCTATGTAATGTTGCGTTTTCAGAGATCATCACATTGGTTGCTCCATATTTACGTAAAGTTTAGGTATCAGCCACTTCATGCAAAAACAGGGGATCCGCTCACAACTTGCCCTCCAATAACCTTTTAAACCAACAATTGTCTGTCGAAAATGGAGACAGATTTTTTTGGCCAACAGTTTTCTGCTATAAGAGAAGGTTTCCAAATGAGTGCATTTGTTTTCTCTTCAGATTAAATCCCACACTTCATGTGAAGATGACAGCACTCCAGATGTGGTGTTTCTGGCCCGTTGCTGCTCTCCTCCTTCTCCTGCCCATCGCTCCCACGTTGGCCGAAGTGGTGAGTTCGATGTCGGTCTGCGGCCACTTTCTCCTTGAGGAAACTCCGCCTCAGATCCCGGGTGTCGTGGAAGGCGGGAAAATCCTGAACCAGAACCGATACAAGCCCATCTGCCAGACGTACAGGAACGAGAGGAGGTTTGTGACGCTGTACGACGTCAAGAACAAGATCCCGGTGTTTTCTGCTTACAAGTACAGAGGAGTTGACGGAAAGGGAAGACCCAAAAAACACTGGAAGATTGAGCCGCAGGTAGGTTTCCTCTAAGATTCCACTTTTGGGTACTAGCGCAGTCACATCAGTAATGTAATGACAGAACTAGCATCAGAGGTACTGAAGGACCCATTTGCCACAAAACAACTTCCAACTGCAGGTACTATTTTCTGCCACGCAAACAGCCCTGAATGAGGTTCTACATTTGGGGTTCTTGTATCTCAACAGGCACAAAGGGACAGACCACCCTAAAACGACCTGTAAATTGTGTTGCATTGGGTTGTTCTCATGAAAAATGCCAAATAGTTGAGTAACAAAAAGAAAAGGGAGTCTGTCTTACCTTCACGCAGCTGGCCAGTCACGGCATACTGAAGTATTTGTGGATCTTGCATCAGACCATCTGACATGCAGTTTGGAGAAACTATAAATCCCATTTCTGACTGTACATCTCGTTTCTGATCCAGTTTCTAAAATATTGCTCATGCACAGTCTCCAGGAGCCCTTTCTTACCAAGTATGAGCATTTCAGTTGAAGAACTGAGCAGGTAACAACCCATGCTAGTGTCAACAAACTACTCTGTGGTCCACTGGTTCCTACTTCCTACGACACTGTTACGATGTGAAAGAGTAAGATCTTTTGGGGTGTTTTTACTGTTACGTTATCTTTTTCTCTGCCTTTAACTCTTTACAGCTTGAGAACGAACTTGCCAACAAGAACATGATGAGCAAAGACAAGCAGATATCCTACAAGCATCAGGCCGTCGACACTGATTTCAGAAGCAATGGGACGTTCGACAGAGGTCACATCCTGCCGAGCTCTTACGCCTGCACGGAAAACGACAAGCGCTCGACGTTCACCCTAACCAACGTCGTGCCACAAGCGGGTTCGTTCAACAAGGGCAGCTGGAGCAGGATGGAGCGCTGCGTCCAATGTGTGATGGACAAATACTGCACCAACAGCAGCGGCTTCACCGAGGGCTTCGTGGTAACTGGAGCGCAGCCCGGCTCCGGCAAAGTCCTCAACAACAGGGTCAACGTTCCCTCCGCGCTCTGGTCGGCCTTCTGCTGCTACAGCGCCGACATGCAGGCCTGGATAGCGAGCGCTCACTGGGGCGAAAACGTCCCCGACCGCGCCAAAAACAAACACCTGCAGGCGAAGACGCTGGCGGAGCTTCACGGCCTGCTGAGGACCGAAGACTCCGAGTTCGCAGTGTTTCCTGGAGCTCAGTGTCCTCTGCACACCACCGTCGCCGAGTTCTACCCGAAGGACATCAGCTGCCACTGCCCGCCCAGCGACTCGCCTGCCCCGCAAAGTTCTACATCTGCTTCTCTTACTGCAACATCATGTTCACGTTCCTCAACATCTGCCCCTTGCAGCTCCACATCTGCCCCTCAAACTTCAACATCTGCCCCTCATTGTTCTCCATCTTCCCATCACACTTCTACATCTGCTTCTCTTACTGCAACATCTGGTCCACTTTCCTCAACATCTGCCCCTCGCGACTCCACATCTGCCCCTCAAACTTCAACATCCACCCCTCATAGTTCCACATCTGCCCCTCATACTTCAACATCCAC